CTCGTATGAAATTTCAAAAAGAAGAGCGTAAAGGACATTTGAGTCGAAATTTCCAATCCTTATATAGGATAAGTGACATGCCTTCTTTGCAGAATTCAATCACAAAAAATATTGAAGCAAAGAAACTCTGCCTTTTTCTTAGAGATTTGGTGCTTGTTGTCAAGTACTTTATGCTCACTTAGGACAGGACACTATGATTTCCCCAGCAGCTAAGCTTTGTTCTCTGTTCTACGGACAGGTGGGCTTAAATTTTCTGGAGAAGGATATCATGAGTATAAAGGGGGGATAGGGCATAGTGGAGCTTTAAAACCTTATTTATTCACCTCTGTATAGAAGACAAAAGCTAATTACCAGAGTCTTTTCCTCTTTCCTTGAACAATAGAAGGTTAAAGCGTAACTTTGTAAATCTGCTTCCACTTTTTAATAAAAGAGAATGAATCCCTTTAATTCCTTATTGAAGAATGTTACGAGTAGAAATTAAGTTCTACCTACTTGAATCTCCAGGGGAAAAAAAGACGAACACTGTGAAAAGAGCAAGCTAAAAAGATTACCCACTTTTTTGGGTGGCCTAACTAAAGATAAAAAGCTAAGAACTAAATGCAGAGTTATCATAATGTAACCTGGAGCATCTTATAGGCTTGTAGTCGTATGTCTGAAGACCAATCTTTCCTTACTAAAATAAATGATGTGCTCGCCAAGATACGTACATCCCCTGCTTTTATCTGCAAAAACAATATAGAAAGTTATCCGCAACATAAATGCTAAAATAAGGAATACAAATAGAATTCTGTCATAATGGTGTTGTGATAGTAATAATTAGGGAGATCAATGGATAGATTAGGGAAGAGTAATCCGCTTTGAGACTATATTTGCATACCCTAGTTAACGATGAGCTAACCAACAACAAATAGGACTGACTTCATGGTTCATGTAATTAGCCAATGATATTGTATTAATTGACAAAACTAGCAAAAGAGTCAACAAAAAACTATAACTTCGAGGAGTAACCTAGAGAGATAGGTTTTAGGATAAATAAAAGTAAGATGGAGAATCGGGGCTACAAGATTAGCCTCCATGAGAAGAGCAGAAGTGCAGTGAGATAGGATGGGATTGTAGTGCCTAAATACAAACACCTCAATATATAGATTTTGTCTTCGAACAAAAATATATTAAGATTCAATCTTCTAAGAGAATGGCATGATAGATAAAGATGTAACACAAAATCAAAATAGGATGGTTAAAATGAAGGATTGCAACAAGAGCATTATGTGATAGGAAGATACCAAACAAAATAAAAATAATGAAAATTAAGTTCTATATAACGTTTACAAGCCTAGCAATGTTATATGGAAGTGAATGTTGTCGCCTATGATCCACCATATGGATATGACTAATGAGTATTGTAGAAACGCATACATCGTGAATTCACAAAAGATTGAACAAAATAATAAATGATCATATCACACGGAGGGTGCAAGATAAGATAAGATAAAGTCGAGTAATACGGTTTGGTCATATGGTATATAGACCTCTAAACGCACCAATCTATAATACTATGATGATTGAATTTGCTAAAAGGATACGAGACAAACTTAAAATCATATGAATGGAAGGTATCTCAAAAGTCTTATAACCACTCGTAATCAATGTAGATTGACAAAACAGATAACACGGAAGCAAATGATCCATAGACAATACTAGACCAATTGGGACTAAGGCTTAATTGTTATCAAACTTACATTAGGCCCAAGTAGAGATAAGTGAAAGAGTTAGAGAATATCTAATTTGCCTTAAAACGGAAGTTGTTTACCAGTATTGGAATGAAATAAACTCGAAAATAGAGAAACAAATTTAGAGGATTTCATAAGGACAACCCTAACTAGTTTGGAATTGAGGCATAACTGATTGATTGATATTGGAAGAAGAAAGGACACCAATAGGGGCCAATGAGAGAATCAATATAATCACCAATACGGACATACATCCTATCCAAAATCTCATGTTGAGAACCATCCATCCCACAAAGTGGCCTTAGAAGTTCCATATCAATTGCTTTACAACCATTTTTCCTCCAGGAATACTGCAAGGTATATCTTACATACCCAAAATGACTATTTTTAATGAAACTTCAACTGCATCAAAAGCAAACTCGTTTCTCTTGTTATCTAGTGAAATCCCATGAAATGTAACTGATTCTATCAGCAAAACTCATTTACCTATTTTAGCATTATTTGCACTTAGTACTTACTCGTATTCAGTAACTCATAGACTCAACAAACCCCTATAATCGTCTTCGAAATATTCAAAAATGAAAAGGTCATTGGAGAAATATCATAATTCCAATATTTTGAAGCTACATAAATAGACAAATAAAGATATGCCATTGAAACACCCCAACTTCATCAGAACCCTACAAACAACTCAAAATAAAAAAGGAAAGAGGAAAAAAAAAAGTGATCAAAAACCACCCTTCCTTCCTCTCCTTTCCACATGAACCTAAACCCCTCAACAGAACCAATTTTCTCCTCCCTTTAACAAAACCATTATGACTCAAAAATCAAGATGGTAATTTTGAAAACTTAAAATCAAGATTCCATTAAAGATCAAACTTTTTAATATGAAGAATCAATTAAAACAAACCCATTACTTTCAAGAATTACAAATACAACAAAGTGGGGTTGTGGTAAAAAAAAGAAAACTATATGAGCTATGTGATACTTACGGATTCTAGATAGGAATAAGCGGCTTTACGGGCATCAGGAGAAGAGTTCCAATCAAGGGCAGCCACAATAGCACGAGCTACATTGCTTGCTATACCATTTTCCTCCATCTTTTTAGCTGTTAATTAATGCTCCAATAGATTCTTGAAGTTACACGCTGTTCAACTTTGAAAGGAGTTTTAGCAAATATGTCAGTTATTTGCACCCTGCGATAGTGGACAGAAGGGGAAGAGTGGGGAGAGAGGAAAGGTGCTGAGTAATTTTGGGGACCAATGTTTCTCTTTTTATTCTTTTTCTTTCTCCTTTGGTTTGAATTGTTTACTCAGGTCCTCCCATTGTTTTCTATTTTCTTCTTCTCCGCTTTATAGAATCTTCTGATGATTTGCTCTTTTACTTTCTTATATTTTCTTTTCTTTCTATAAATAAATAAATAAGGAAGGGGAGGAAGTAATCCATTTATTCGTTTAAGTAAAATAAAACTGGAATACCTTTTTTTTTAATAATGTTTTTAAAAAAAATCAAACACATATTTTTGTTTGGTTACAAAAATATGACGAAATAATCCGCACATATGAATCTTGTACTAGTATGTTGTATAATTTTTAACTACTCTTTCTTTTTCACATAAAATATACTAATATTGTTGATGTTTGGTTCATATTTTTTAATTAATATACACATATACAACAATAATAGTATTCGCATATGCATGATGTAATATGGAATAAGAATGTGGACACTAATATATATGACTTTAAATTACTAAAATAACAAAAAAGGATTTCATTTTAATTGTTAGAAATTAATAAACATTTTTAATTTATACAAAAATATTACATATCTATATTTTAATCTTTGCATTATTAATTCAAGTATAATCAACTTGCTTCTAAACTACGCAAAAGTACGGAAAAATATTCAAATATACCCCTCTACTTTAATATATTGTTCATATGTACCCTCCGTTATACTATAGGGCCACATCCACTCTCATTGTTACCCAACTTTATGAAAATACCCCTCATTAAACGGAAAACCATCCGACATTAGGAACACTCAAAATACACCTTTTTCATCATAGAAAATCCGAGAAGTGCCATGTCCTAGGGTTTTGCTGCCAAAATTTCTATTATTGATAACATTTGAAGAGAAGTTGATGAAGATGAGAATTTTTCTTATGATTTCATGGGAGGAACCCACCTTTGTAGCATTCACGAAGAAATTTTGGCAGCAAAACCCTAGGACATGGCACTTCTAGATTTTTTCTTTGACGAAAAAGGTGTGTTTTGAGTGTTCCCGTATAAAATTATGGGTCTCTTTTATTTATATGATGGGTTTATTTGGTTAAACAGGTTATTGGTCGATGGGTCAAAAATTTTTTATTTTAAAAACGGGACATGCCTAATGTCATATGGCTTTCCGTTTAATAAGGGGTATTTTTATAAAGTTGGGTAACGGTGAGGGTGGATGTGGCCCTACAGTATAACGGATGGTACATGTGAACAATATAATAAAATAGAGGGGTATATTTGGATCTTTTCCCCAAAAGTATTGTACTAATTAACACATCACTCCAAATTTTGTTGCAATAAATAATGAAAGAGCAAGATATTGTGGTTGCATTTAAACTTTTTTCTTATTTTTTAAAACTTGGTTGAGTAGCCAAACAGGCACTTGCAATTACACGAAATTGTGTTGTTAGTCCCCCAATTTTAAAGAGTTATCATTCAAACAAATTTACTATTTAAACACGTCTAATCGTTGACCGGACCTATGTAACATTGCTACGGTTGAGTTGAATAAAAACTACGAACTACTAAGTCTTATGTTTTTTCTTTCAGAAATATTAAATATAAATTAATACTCTCTTCGACTCATTTTAAGAAATAGAAAAAGACTCTGACATGTAAGATAAATATTGATAAGGTATAAAGATTGCTCTTGCTAAGAATTAAGGTATTGAGAGCCATATGCTTTTTTTCAATTTCTGCTCTCCGTCCAAACAAGGCATGCCATTAAGGATGAATTGAAATACTAATTTTAAATAGTTTTCAAACAGAGAAATGTGTTAACATTCTTTAGATATTACTATTTTTTTAGAAGCGAGAGTTTCGGGGACGAACATGGGTACGAACTTATAGTAATTACTTTACTTTTATAGTAAAATGAGAGTTGGGGTGTACGAAGAGGGGTATTATGGTAATTCTAAAGTTTTCTAAGGGTAATTCTATAATTGAATCTTACTGCTCATGCTTTTCCATTAGACGCGTGTACTATATTTGAGCAGGCACATGTACTGCTCTAACACAAATTTCACATCCTAACTTTCTGATTTTACATCCTACACTGCTCCAGTTCAAAGAACTCGATTCTTCTGTCTTCTTCGTTAGTTTCAGAACTTCTTTCACCTCTTTTCTCTATTTTTTACTCTTTCAAAGTACGACTTTTTTCTGTTGATGGGTCTATGATGGTGATTTACTGCATGAGAGCCCTGAGAATACTTAAAATTGGGTTCTCTAATGGAAATGGAGTATTGATGTATACGTAACTGGCGGTGTGAGTATAGTGTAGTGCATTTTTTTTTTGGTCTTCCCTCTTGCAGAGATTGTTAATTTCTCTATTTATATCTGTTGTAGCCTCTTTGTTTCTAGCGTTATTTATGCAATCATTTTTCTATCCATTGTACTTTCGTTATATCACAATTTGTGTGTATAGGTTAGTTTTATTCTTTTTCAATAACGTTTTGCTAGAATTTTCACATGCATGTCGGCAGGGGGACCTAGAGCATTGGCTGCGGGTTCCCGAGCACTAATTGTGAACCCGGATATTATTGCATATTAATTTGAAATTACGGTAGGAACCCATAAGCCTCAAATTCTCGATCTGCCTCAGCATGTCGGTTATTGTGCCTGATTTTCCCATACGTTGTGTCTTTTTGATGAATTTTGTTCTTGTTACCAGGAATTTGAGGTGGACCGTGCACCTAAGTTGTTTGACTATATGTCTGCAAGGTAATTTGGACTTCTTACTATGGCCAGTGTCAGTTGCGCATTCACTCCCATTATTGCTGCACTTGAGAAAAAAAAGTTTGCTTCTTTTTATTTTTTATATGTTTTAGATTTATGTTTTCTCCTCTTCCTGTATAATAGAAAGATATTCACTAATGTAAAAGCTAGATATATAATGTAATTTGCAGAAATGAATATATACTCTAACCAACTTACCTAAACAAGTTGGCAATTCCTTTAACATATAAAGTATATTACTGACAATAGGATATATCTCTGATTGTCCGATGTTCAGCCTTCAAAGACAAAAGATATTCAAAGTGAAGTGACCAACCGCTAATAGAATACTACATATATGTTTGCTAGGCATTTCTTTTAAATAACGTATCATAAAAATGTGAAATGAAGTTATTGCTGACGCAATGATTCTATGTTGTTCTTTTCTTGACAGGAGTTTGGGTCATTTTTTCCCCTCACTCTTTAGACAGAGACAGCTTCTTACTGATCTCACTGAATAGATAGGACCAAGAAATGCATTATAGAGACTTGAACAACAATTGTTCTTTGGCACTTGGCACAATGATGGACTTTATTGTTGACGTCGAGTCTCTTGGTAAACAGATACTAATTACATTTCTAGAGAGAAGTAAGGATGAGTTTACCAATAAATATAGAGGAGGCAAAGCTGCTACAGCTGTTTCTAGCAGCTTGAAGAGGGAATTTGGATAATGTACATTTCTTTTGTTATTCTCTACTTCCTCCTCTATGCTTGAGGCTATTGAGAGTGATAACCGCCTTCACCATAACAATAACATACAACAATAAACTTAAGTAGCAAATGCCATATTGTGTGGATCATCCAGAGGAAGTTAGTAAGCTTGCTAGGTGAAGGCTCAGGTTTCAAAAGTTAAAGGTGCGATAATGGAAAACATTGAGAAAGTAGACTATACTAACATCCTTTTTTGATTGTACTCTTTCAAAAGACTAGATTTCTTCATTTGACACCGGAAAGACGCCAAGAAATTGTGTGTGGCTGGTTAATGTGAATTATAGCCTTGCGCATGTTCTTGTGCGAGGGAAGAAGATCAAGCTTTGTAGATGAATCTGCTGTTACTTTTATGCTTCTGTTCGGTTTTTATCCTAATTGGAAGATACTTCTTACATAAAAAGAGTACGTTGGGTACCTTGCATTCTAACCTAAAAAGTCACAGTTGCTCCACTATTATAAGGTATTTAGTTCTGTTTGTTTAAACTGAAACTTCATATATTTGTTTGTTACAATGATTGTCACTTCTGTCTTACTGCTTACATATTAACTTTATTGACAAGTACTGCTAATAAAATTGTTGTGTTATTTTTTGAACTCAAAGAGCTATGAAATAGAAGAGGGCTTTCAAAAGCTAACTTTTTGTAATATGGAGAGTAATTTGGTTCTTTCAAGAATGATCATAAAGAACTTAAGTCGTTTGAGCAGTAGTGATGAGCTTAGTGATTGAACAAAAAAAATAAAAAAGGTGATGATGGAGATGAAATATTTTGGATAACTTAGTAGTATTTTGTGAGACAAGGAGAAAGTTTTTTGATAGTTTGGTCTGTTACTTCATATATTTAGAGAGGTGGAAAACACGAGAAGAGAAAAAAAATCCAATTCTTTGACAAGCCCTGAATCCTTGAGCATATAATTCCTTGGTAACATTCTAATTCGGCCTATTACTTTACCCCTAAAAATGTTTCAGCTGTTGGAAAAAATATACGGCAAAGGGCCAAATATACCCATCTACTTTCGAAAATGGTCTAAAAATATCCCCGTTATACTATTGGGTTATCTATACCCCTGCAGTCATACTTTGGGTTCAAATATACCCCTCATTTAAACGGAGGGACACGTGTCATCGTCCTGTTGGTCAATTTTAAATATCTCCTAATTAATTAAAAAAATTCATTACCCATACCCGAAAAATAATTTTTTAAAGCAATTTTTTTTTATAAAAATGGAAAAAACTGAAATTATTTTTTCTAAAAACTGGAAAAAACGAAAATATTTTTTTTTCAGTTTTTACAAAAAAAAACCGCTTTAGAAAAAACTGAAAAATATTTTCTAAAATAATGTTTTTGTAAAAACTGAAAAAAAGAGCTGAAAATTAATTTTTTAAAGCAATGTTTTTGTAAAAACTAAAAAAACAAATATATATTTTTTTTTTCAGTTTTTAGTTAAAAATATTTCAGTTTTTAATTGCATTAGAAAATTATTTTTCAGTTTTTACAAAAATATTGTTTTAGAAAATATTTTTCAGTCTTTTTAAAGCAGTTTTTTTATAAAAATTGGAAAAAAAAAATCGTTATTTTCAGTTTTTAGTAAAAAAAAAATAAATAGTTTTTTCCAGTTTTTAAAAAAAAAATATTAATTTTCGGGTATGAGTAATGAGTCTTTTTAATTAATTAGTGGATATTTAGAATTGACCAACAAGACGATGACATGTGTCCCTCCGTTTAAATGAGGGGTATATTTGAACCCAAAGTATGACCGCATAAGTATAGATAACCCAATAGTATAACGAGGGGTATTCTTAGACCATTTTCGAAAGTAGAGGGGTATATTTGGCCCTTTGCCGAAAAATATATGACAGAAATGTAAAAAGTTATTCTTTGAGGTTATGTGGAAATGTTCTTGAATTGCATTTCAAGAGTAGTTTTAGAAAAGAATCACAAAGCAAAAGCGATTGTGTGAGATCATGTTGTTGATGTTCTGTAGTAATGGGAAGTTCTACCCTCAAATTCACATGTTAGCTTCCTGTTCCTTATGAAATAAAAGGACTCAATCAAATATGGTAGGTAGTTTTTCATGCCTTATGGTAATATGAAGGTTACATTTAATTCGTCTTTCATTCAGCTTGACTTTGGTATTTCTACATCGTCAGATACTATGATCTATCCACCTTTAATCCTACTAAAATATTTTCCATAAGTACATTTAATGTCATCTTAATGGGTTTCCACGGAGTTGCTGGGGAGATGTAGCAATAGTATAGAGGAAAGAGCATATAGGTGAAAACAAGATTGATATTTCTCCTCTAGAATTTGAGCTTAGTTTTTTATAATTATCTCACCAATATATTTGCATTGTCATGTGAACAAGAAAAATTTTACCGAGACGTCCACAACATTTGGCTTCAGGCCAACATAAGTTGCTTTGGATTTCATTCTATATGTTTCTCGCTATCTCTATTCCCAAATTTGGGTATCTTCCATCATGTAGTTATAACATATTAGCTACAAGTTATAGGTCCTTTTAATAGGCAGTCATCTTTTCCTTGCTAAATTGATGGTCTAACACTAAGATGAGATTTTTTTTCTTATTAAAGAGGAATTTGAGGACGTCACTGTTGATCATGGACTTGTGTTTCTTCTACATATAATTTTTCTATAGAACATGTTATGTTACTGTTATTCCCGCCAATATTGCTGTATTTGCAAATAATAATTCTGCAAAATATAAGTTAACGTAATGAAACAATAATAAATTCGAGCCCACTGA